CTTTTTGACCTCGCCTGCTGCCACCGAGGCTTCCCCTGCTGCCAGGATCCGAACCCGCAGACCGGTGGGCGACGCGGGGGTCGGCCCACGCCGGGCTCCGGGGCGGCTGCGTTCCCACTGTGCCCCAGCGTCCCGTTCCACTGTCCACCAGTGTCCCGTCCCCCTGCTCGCTGGTGTCCCGAATGCCTTGTCGCACTGCCCACCAATGTTCCCCAATGCCCTGTTGCCTTATGTCCTGCTCTGCTGCCTACCAGTGCCACATACCCTGTCCCCCACTGCCCCACTCCGTTGCTCCCCCAGTGCTCCATCCCTCTGCCCACTAATGTCCCCCCAATGCCCCATGCCCCTGTGCCCTGCCCTGCTTCCCACCAGGGTCCCCTAGTGCTGCATACCCCTGTCTCCCAGTGCCTCATCCTACTGCTCACCAGTGTCCCCAGTGCTCTGTGCCCTGTCTTGCCCACCAGTACGCTGTCTGCCCTCTGAGGTGGCTGGGCTGGGAGGCTGGCGTGTGGGGCCGAGGTTGATCACCGTGGGGCTGGTGTTCCTGGTCCAGAGTGGTGCGGTGCCTGCATGGACCTTGCCGCTGGTCCAGTCCCACTGCTGTGCCAGCTCAGTGTAGGGTGAGGGGGGGTTATCCCCCCTGCAGCACTGCAGGGCACTTGCCAGCCCCTAGGCTTGGTCTCTGAAAGGGGTGGTCTGGGTGGGGACCCTGCTGGCACCCCCTGCCTGGGCACCCAGAGTTGGGCGAGTGCGCCCTGGCCCTCAGTCGCTTTGGGGTTTCTCTTGGCACCCGGGGAGGGGGCTGCTGGACCCTCCCTGGGTGAGGGATTGCTGGGGCACAGTGCAGGCATGGGGTGCTTGGGAGGGAAGCTGGCGTGTAGAGCCCTCAGTGGCACCACGCTGGAGGGCGAGTCCTGACCCATTTGCTTGGCGAGCCCCCTACACCAAGGGCGGCAGGAGGTCCGCGCCTGCCAGCACAAGTGGGCACCTGACATGCTGGAGAGCTGGTGCCTGGGGTGCGCAGGTAGGCTGCCGGCTACTGGAGACCCCAGTGGAGATGGCTTGGGAGCAGGCAGTGGGGGGTGGCCAAATCCCTGCTTGGAGCGGGGCAGCTGATGGGAAACCTTGTCCTGAGCCCCAGCACCGGTGAGGCTGGAGACTCAGGCTGGGAGGATTAAAAGAGCAAGGAATGCCTTGGGCTGGGGGAGCACTGAGACCAGTCCCTCTGCGGGGAGGCCAGACGTGCTCAGAGGGCCAGCACGAGGGTTAAAGGCGGTGGATAAGTTGTGTGAAGTTATTTGTTGGGTCTGAGGGGCTGCAGTGATTTTTTTCCCTGATGTTATTGTGCGCATGGATGCCTGTAGTCACGAAGTGGGGAATAGCTCCCCTCTTATTCCTGCTCCTGTGGCTTGCTTTTTCTCCCTAAACGTTTCCTGTTCTCTAAGCTCGTTCTTTAGGCAGCTTAGACAACGCGCGTGCACACACAGCCCTACCTACAAATGGCCAAGACGTGCACAACGCACCCCCTCTGCGAGGGGTTCTCAGTCGCAGAAAACCCTCTTTTCCTAATTGCTTCAGCTTGCAGATGTTTTACCTAGTCTTTATTGTCCAGCCCAGGGTGGGAGGATAATGCTGACTGTTATTTTGATCCTCGCTTACCTTTTTGAATTAGCACCAGCAATGGAAGAAATGGCCAAACTTTAATTTTTGTTGGTTTAAATATCAAATGGTTCCCCTCTGCTCCAAGGCAGGAATGTGGCCTGATACACTGTAAGAAACAGCCTCCCCAGAGCACTGGAGTTTCCAGTTTCCCCAGAGTGCAAACGACACTGGAGATAAAGATTTCCTGGCCAAGGTGCATTTGAATGGGCTATTTCCCCTTTGCTGCCTTGGAATTTGCCACTTCTCGCCCAGCCTTGGATGCTCCCCACTTTCCTCTTTCCTTCTGCTCTGTTTTTCTCGCGGTCCCTTTCCTCCCCTCCTTTCTGTGCGTTCTCTTCTTTCCCCTCCTCTCCCTCTTTTCCTTTGTTTGCCATCTCGCTCCCTGTCTCTGACGCTTACGCAGCTTCATCCAAATGCAATAGTGGGATTTGCCAGAATTATTTCCCAAGGATGCTGGGGGGTTATTTAACTGCAACCAACTGTAGTTTTGGATGGCGGGGTAATTTGGGTCTCCGGCTGTCCCGGTTCCAGAAGGCACAGCGTTAATGCGGAGGGCAGAGCCTGGGAATGGGGAGGAGGGGGGGAAGCTTGGAAGAGGAGCGAATGCCAGTACAATGGAGCAGATCTGGGTGTGCGCACGGGGAGAAGAACAAATCTAAATATTTACTGACTCCAAAGGCGATAGCGAGAAAAATATTGAGCCCTGGGGAACAGCAGTTCCTCAGCACTCTGTGTCTTGCCCCACCACTCGAGGAAGCGCGTAGCTCGCGGGGCTGGGTCCCCTCCTGCCAGCAGCTGCCTAGCTGTTCCTCCCAACTCACCTTCTGCCCATGCCCGTGGCCATGCCCTGCTTGGGGTAAAAGTCAGAGAGGTGGGTGCCGACTGTGCCCAGGGTAGGATTGAACTGGTGACTGCTGCTGTGGTGGTGCCACCATGATGGGAAGAGCCAAGTCCAGTTGGGATATGGGGAGAGCCCAAATGCATGGGGTGTGAGGTTGCCTGTGTGCGTGCCCTGCATCGCGGTGGGGCTCAGCATGGCGCAGCTCACTGCCCGTTTCTCAGGGTGCCTCTCATGCTGTGGGGGGTCGGGCTTGAAGGGCTTTTTGGGGCCTCCCTGCTCCAGGTACAGCAGGCACCTTCATGTCTCTTGGGCCCTGGGCAGGTATGTGCAGGGGCAGTTGGGAGAGTGGCAGTCACGAAGGGCACATCCCAATGGGGATGTAAATACGGAGACCCGTCTGGCATGGCATGGTGGCAGGCAGCATCTGTCCCCACAATGCAGAGCCCATTCAGCTCAGCTTGCCAAGTTCTCCTTAGATGACCAAGCCATACATGGTACCATGTAGCTAGCCCTCCTGCAGTGCATCTCCACCCTGAGCGTGCGATTCCAAGGCAACCCGCTCTGCCAGAGCTTGGAGGACAGGAGGGATTCCTACCATGCCTCTTGTCCAAAATCCTGCCCTAAGCCCAGGGGCTGGAGCCCCAGGGGATGATGCTCGAGAGCCCAGGCCTGCTTCAGGAGGAGAAGTGAGCCAGAAGGGACCGGTCCCTCTCCAGGGTCTGCACGGAGGGGGCATTTTTGGGGCATTGTGCCCAACATGCTGAGCCAGGGTGCATGTGTGGCTTGCTGGAGGCAGCTTGGCGGGCTCTGCTCTGTGCCGGAGCCCCAGGGAGTCCAGCTGCCTGGCACACATGCAGGGTTTTTTTTTCCTCCTTTTTTTATAAAAAAAAAAAAAAAAAAATTTTTTTTTGTTCGTTCTTGGAATAATGAAGTCCAGATTTCCCTCATGCTGGAAAGATTTGGTCCCGGCTCTGCTTGCTGTGTCTCTGCTCCAGGCTGGGAGGAGATGTGGGGTAGGAGGAGTGGGGGATGAGCCATTGAGCCCTGGCTGGATATTTGGGCAAGGGGAGCCAGCCTGGTAGTGATGCTGCAAATAGGGTGGGCTGCCATGGGATGGGGAGAAGAGGGGTCCTTCTCACCTGGGTAAAGCTCTCTTGGGTCAGCAAAGGAGCACGGCACAGCATTGCTGTCTGCTGCACTGCGTGGGCTTGGCCCGGTGCCCACAGCTGGAGGTGAGGCCAGACCCTCCGCAGACAGCTCACGTCCTCCAGCCCCCGATCTCTGTCCCTTGCCCCCAGCCTGTGGAGTGGGTGTTTTCAGGGACCCCCCCTCCCCACCTCAGGCTGGCTCTGAGCCCTTCTTGGAGAAGGGTGCGTGCTGATAGATAATGAGCCCCAGGCCCACATCAAGGAGATTGGTGGGAAGGTGTAGGACTTGTACCCCCTTTGGTGGGAGAGGGTGCAGGTAACCCCTCACTCACCAGGGAATGGGTACAGCAATTCTGGCCTGCGATCAGGGCAGGGTTGAAGGGGGGGTCAGCAGGTCTCCAGAGTGCCCCTGCAGGCTTGTAGCTCTGCTAGGGGCAGCTTTTGGGAGTGAGTCTGTGCAGGATGGGGGCATCCTGTGTGCCAGGACTGTCTGCCTGGCATAGTTACATCCTGGGGCATCCCTACTCAGACTGATGTCTCTCCTTCTTGCGCCCCCTCCAGCAGGCTTGGCCTCTCCTGGACTCCCTTTGGACTTGGGACCTAGGCACGTGCCCACCATGCCTGTGGTTGGTGTTCTCCTCTGGGCCACCCTGCTGACTCTGGGCTGGCGGGCCACCCACGCCAAGGACTACCTCTTTGCCACTCCGAGAGTGCAGCTTTCCTTCAAAGGTAAGAGCCCATCTGCTCCTCAGAGCGGGATTTCGGGAGCGGAGGAGGTGTCGGGCCTCCTTATAAGGGTGGGGGTGCAGATTCCTGCACTCACAGCCAGGGGCACCTTAGTCCAGGCCAGTCTTTCCTCCTCTCACCTGGGGGCATTAGTGCGCTGCTCCCTCTGCCCCTACTCTGGACAGCAGGGAAGAAATGTCAGTGGGGATCCGGGTCCCTACCCAGATGAGCTCCCAGTCCATTCTCCCTCCCAATCCAGGGGACTGGGAGCCTGCCCAGCCCATCCAATATGCTTCCCCTCGTGGGTGGGTGGCTCAGTGGTTCTATCCATCTGGAGATACTCTGCGTTGAGTTGCAGGGAGCTTTCCTGCGAGTGCCGGAGTCGAGCGCAGCGGCTGACGGTCCAGACAGCAGCTTGACGCGGCACCGACCCCAGAGCTGGTATTTTTCCAACCCCAGAGCTGGTATTAACGCCTGGGAGCTGGCAGGGAGCTGGGAAGAGGGAGGGGAAGATGTGTTGATGGGGGGATGGGGTTTAACCCTTTGGTACCAGAGCATTTGGATGCTTCTGGACCCATGGAGAAGGATGTAATGGGGTGGTCACCATGGGCTGACCCAAGGCTCAGCTTTAGGGTGCATGTGTGTTGAGGGCTATCTGAGAGTGAACTATCAGAGACTGAAATGTCAGAGCTGTTCCTGGCCCTGAAGAGCGAGGGTGGGGACGTCATGGGGGGGGGGGGGGGGGGGGAGACGACACAACAGCGGGATGTCTCTCTGGGGCCTATCACGCTTGCTGCCAGGCCCTGGAGCTGGCTGCCTTCTGCTGGCCCATACGTTTGGATGCCTCCCAGGCCAGGGCCACTTGTAAAAAGGGTGGCAGGCACGTGAAGGTTTGTTCTGACTCTGTGCGTACCTTTTGCCTGTGGCTGGGATGGCGGGAGAGGCATGCCACAGCGGGAGCACCAAATGCTGCATGGAGAAGTGTTAGGAGCCAGGATGCCTGGCATCTCCTCCCTGATCCCAGCTCTTCTGGGGGGATCTTGAGTCAAATCCCTCTCCTGTGTATGGCATGGTTTGTCCCCACCCTGTTTTCCTATTTAGACTGTGACTCTCCCTGTACCTGGACCCAGCACCTCGTGGGGCTGCAGGGACCCTCCAAAAGTATCTTCTCATGCTCCAGCCAGTCGGCAAGATCTGGGCATGAAGCGCTGAGGACCAGAGTTTGGGCTTGGGTGCCAATCTGGCCCACCTTCTCCTCCCTCTCTGCAGGCTGGAGCAGGGTGATATGATCTGGTGGGCACTTTCAGGATGCGTGGTAGAGGAGAGGCAGAGGCACAAAGGTTTCAGAGCAGGTGCAGTGGGAGGTTTTCAGGAGAGTTGTGCCTGCTGCCATGCTGACCGCCAGCCTACTGTGAGAGTTTGGGAAGGTGCTGTGCTGGTTGTGCACCCACTCTCCTATTGCCGGCTGGGTCCAGCCACAAGCTCTCACCATGACTTTGCCCTCCAGATTTCATACTAGATTTGGCACCAGTGGCCCAGACGTGTGAATTCCTGCATGAGCTGGTGGGAGAGGCAATCACACAAGTGGAATTTAGCATGGCGTCTTCAGTCTGGAAGAGCTCAGCAAAAGGGACCTGGATGCTGACTGCAAATACAGCAAGAACAAGGGGGGAAGGGAGAGCTGCTGGAGTTAAAAGCTGGTCTCTGTACAAAAATCAATGGTATGAAGAGGCTGGGGGCAAGTTCAGGCTAGAAATGAGTGAGTGGTTTCTGCCCGTTGGAGGAGGGAGTGGGCTGGCTGATGCAGGCACACCAGCAAATGGGGTCCTGGAGCACCCTGATTAGGTTGGGATGGCGTGCTTGCCAGCATGCTCTTCAGGGCTAGCTAACCAAGTAGTTGCAGTTTCTGCTTTGACAGTAAACTGAAAGGATTTTTGGGTGCTGCCAAAGCAAGTCCAGGGCGTTCAGCCGCGCAGAAGTTACTGCTGCTGTTTTCTGCACATGGATGTGTCCCCCATGCAAACGCAGGGGCAGAAATGGATCTGGGAGGCTGTTCAGGAGCATGTTCCCCAGCACAGTTTCCCCTATGTCGGTACATGGGTGCTGTTGTCCCTCACGTGAAGAATGTGCACTGGTGCGATGGGCATTTGAAATGTCTCATGGCTTCCCTGGAGATGCAGGTGTGCGGTGGGAGCAGGTTGCAGAGGAGACCCCTGGGTCTGTGACACTGTGATATGGGTCACACACATATAGCCCATGCACACAGCGAGGAAACTTTCCTCTTGAGATCTAGGTCTCAGCATCCGCATGCTGGAGCACTGTGGAATGTGTAGTGGGGCGAGGAGGGGCTCTGCGCTGACTGTGGGTCCTTTGGGCTAAGGTAATCCCTTGAGTGGAACCGACTCTTGCCATCCTGGGGATGTGTGTTTTAATGCACGTCACCGTCCTGGAGCCACCCAGCATGCCTGGGGCAGCAGAATTAATTCTGGATAAGCATGGTTAGGCCTGGTATGCTGCAGGATTGTTTGCGTACATTCGGCCCCAACTCAGAGGAGTGTTCCTCTCTCTGCATCATGCGTTTGGTTCATCTCTTGCTGGCAGGGAGCTTTGGAGCTGGGCCACAGGGAAGAGAAGGCAGAACTGGGTTGTTGGGTGAAAGCAGAGATCCCTGGCTGTGCCAAAGGGATGTAGGAATGTCACACAAGTGACTTGGAGCCTGCATTTGTTGGCATCTCCAGCTTCTCCTTTTGCTCCCTTCTCCCCTTTCCCATCCTGCCTGCTGGCAGCAGTGCTTACTACTTCCTGGGGTTTCTTGGGGCAGGTACCCACCTCTGTGCCTGGGGGTTCCTCCTGGTCTTGCTGCCAAGAGGCTGGATTTCATAGTGGAAGAAGGTTGCACTTCCATGTCCAGGAGAAATGTCTGTGGCTTGTTGCACAGAAGCACTTGGTGTCTAACATCTCTGGGAGGAGAGATCTTGCTCGCTCCTTCTCTGACTGTGCTTTTGCAGTGGCTCCAGTCGATAAGAATTAGCCTTGGGCCTTCCTTAAGGGCCAGCTGGGACCCAGGAGCTGCAAACTGAGCTGTCTGTAAGCAGCTTTTACTAGTCAATAATCTGCGTGCATCTTTCTTGAAGCGATAGGGCTGAGAAACGTGCCGAGGAAGAGTTCATCAATACAGGCTGCAAAGGTACTTCTCCCAGCCAGCCTAGCCCAATAACTTTGGCTGGTGTTGGGAAAAGATCCCCCCACCCCAAATCCCCCAGGGCAGGGATGCACCATGGTACTGGCAGTGGCAGAGGGAGTTGGTGGGAATGTTGGTGTGGGCTGCATAGTTCTGGGGGGTGATGGGAGGGCATGGTGCCGGCAGCCAGGGTCAAGCTGGGCTCTGGGATTCTCGTGTCATGAGGTGGGCTAGTCTGTGCTGGCCAGAAGGAGTTGCCCATGGGGTTGCGAGGCAGCAGAGATGAATATGTGATGGCATGGGGGACTTGGGGGCTGCAGACCATGTAGTGGCTGGGACAGAAGCAGAGCAGGGCCCAGCCCCAGGATGGGCACGTGGATAAGGATGTGAGCATGGCTGGAGGGATCCTGCTGAGGGTTTGGGTGCACATCTCCATCACTGGCATCGCTCTGGCAGAAGTAGCCTCTGGCCAAGGTATTGCCATGTAGGATTGAGCCAGTTCTTCATTGCCTGGGCTGGACCTGGTGTCCTGGGTGGTGCAGATACCAATGAGCACTTCCTGTGGATGCTTTCCCTGGCTCCTGGTCAGGAGATGACCTCAGGGCCACTGACAGCTCCTTCCTGGCCCTGCTCCCTGCTGGCGGAGATGCCGGCGAAGGAGCTGCGCTGAGCGGCTGACTCCCCCAGACGCCTCAGCCCAGCTTGGACGAGGTGCCTGGAGCCCGGCCAGCCTCGGGAGCGTCTCTCGGTTTGTTTGCCTTGCTTGTTATCGCTTACTCGAGGAGGAAGCGGAGTTTGTCGCAGCTCCCCAGGGCCTGCGTCATCATCTACAAAATCGGATCACGTTTGCAGTAGTTTAAGGGGGGGAGCAAAGCAGTGCGAAGGCTGCTGCATCCAGCAGCACATAAGGGCCCAGATCCCATCTCCTTTGCCCTAGTGCTGGCCCAAGGTGGTGGGACAGGCAGAGTGCCCTGTGGTGTGGTGGTGAGGGTTGGGAGCTCTGCTCCTGGGAGCAGCCAGTGAGGGCAGGGAGCCGTGGGGCAGTGCTGGGCACTTTGCCACTGTTGCCTGCCCACGCCGAGACATCAGAGCCAAAGCAGATTGCTTTCCTGAGGTCCTCGGGGATTTGGGGCAGCAGGTGATGGAGAAGGCAGGCAAGGGCTCGCCTGGCCTCGGCTTGAACCCTGCCTCCCTGCGGCTTCCTCTTCTTGGGGCTCGTTGAAAGGGCCACCGTAGCGAGGAGCTCCCCGTGCTGTGCCCCTGGCTTGGCAGCCATCTCCAGGGCTGCAGGCCCTGCTCTGATCCCGTCCTCCCCTCCGGCTCCCTGTGACCCTGGTGCTCCCACTTGTTCATGCTGGGGAGCGTGGAGGCAGCTCCAAGGCCCCTGTCCGGCCATCCTCCCTCTCAAGGCTTTCCTGTCCGGGCGTCTCTTGCGGGCCGTGGTGGCCGGGAAAGGAAGATGGCCAGCATGGAAAGAACAGCATGATCCCCACCACTTCCCTGGAAGAGGGAGAGGCTGGGGAGTGGCTCTGTTTTGCCCACAACTCTTCCCAGATCTCCGCTCAGTGCTGGCCAGAAATAGTGGATATTTTTAATCATCTTCTTGCTAACCATTTCCCCCTCTTCTGGGAGCATCCTGCTGCCCCTCTCCCGTTTCCTCCTGCTTTTGGAGGAAGATAGGGCTCAGGCACTGGAGACGTCAGCTCCTCGCGCTGGGCTGAGCTGTCCTTCCCAGCTGAGAATGCAGGCCCTGGTGATTCATCTCTCCGTGCCTTCTCTGGCCAGGCGTGGGAAAACTGCACCGGTGGGGCTGGTGCCGGGG